AGTGACAGACCAGGCCGGGTCTGGGCATCGCTCAGGGCGAATTGCTCAAATTCGGGGCTCCTTACAGCCCCCAGGCTGGAGACCGTCCCAAACTGGCCACACACCAGTCACACCAAGCGCTTCGGCCGCCTGCCTGGCTGGCTGGAAGCCTCACGAGCAAAACCCCTCCAACACACCAGCAATATCCGTGCCCCACATGGCCTCATACACCAGTGGGGGGGTCCTAGCACCCAATCCCACCTACCCCGAACAAGTTTTGTCCGGTTCCAAGAAACCAGCCACAGCTCCCAGGTCGATTTATACTCTGGATCTTACCCACAAGACCACGCTGAGCCAATCCTTGAGCATCTAAAATCTAAGGCTACGTCTAGACTGGCATGATTTTCCGGAAACGCTTTTAACGGAAAAGTTTTCCGTTAAAAGCATTTGCGGAAAATCGCGTCTAGATTGGCAGGACGCTTTTCCGCAAAAGCATTTTTTGCGGAAAAGCATCCGTGGCCAATCGAGACGCATTTTTCCGCAAAAAAAGCCCCGCTCGCCATTTTCGCCATCGGGGCTTTTTTGCGCAAAACAAATCGGAGCTGTTTACACTGGCCCTTTGGCGCAAACGTTTTGCGCAAAAGGACGTTTGCCCGAACGGGAACAGCATAGTATTTCCGCAAGAAACACTGATTTTTTACAGTAGGAAGTCAGTGCTTTTGCAGAAATTCAAGCAGCCAGTGTAGACAGCTGGCAAGTTTTTCCGGAAAAGCGGCTGATTTTCTGGAAAAACTGGCCAGTCTAGAGAACGGGCGCAGCGTAGTATTTCCGCAAAAACACTGACAATCTTACACGAGATGGTCTGTGCTTTTGCGGAAATTCAAGCGGCCAGTGTAGACAGCTGGCACGTTTTTCCGGAAAAGCGGCTGCTTTTGCAGAAAAACTGGCCAGTCTAGACACAGCCTAAAGGTTTATTACTAAGAGAAAGAAAAGCCGGAGAGTGAGGTTGTTAAAGGATCCTACATGACATGCACCGAATCTCCCAGTTCTCGAGGCAGGCTCTAGCAGAGATGTTATAGCAGCTGGCTTAAAAGTCTCTGGTGTACATCCTATGTCTGGATGGGTCCACAGTTCTTTCCGGCTCGTTGATCCCTGCGAGTCTGCATCTGCGATGAAGAGCTGAGCACCCAATGGAGGATGTCACATGGCCCCTCTATCCTTCCTTCCTCGTCTCTTCTTGGCTGCAGCAAGTCACCTGGCCAGTGGGCTATTTCTGGGTCCTTTACTGGTAGCTCCTAGGTATCGCTCCCGTTCTTGAGCGATATCCTTGGCCAATAGAGGGCTAGCGTTCCATGGAGACGTGCTCACGAGCGTGTCCATAGATGGAGCTCCCTCGTTCATTGCTCAACCACATACGGAGAAACTTTCGGCATCCACACCGAATACATGTTCATAACCTCACACACAGACCTTATCCAATCACATAAATCGCCTATATAGAATCAGAAGAAGGTAAGCTTTTGTTTGACACCTCACATGGCCCCCTTTGTATACACTTTTGGGGCCAAATCAGCATGGATCTAGCTGCTTCCCTTAGAATCCAGTAACGTGACAGCCGTGAAACAGACAAGAATGGCAATTTCACTGGGCGGCTCTGCTGCCCTGAGGGGCTTCACGAACATCAGAGCGGCCAGAGTGGGTCAGACCAAAGGCCCATCCAGCTCAGGGTCCTATCTGCTGATAGTGGCCAATATCGCATCCTTTGGCGAGGAGTTCCACAGGTTGACTGGCTACAGTGGTCAATACTAGATGCTCCAGAGGGAGGGATCACAACAGGGTCACCCACCTCCAGACAGACAGAGGCTAGGGATGCTGTTCCTACCCATGCTGGCTAATAGCGGTTGACGGGCCTCACCTCCTAACCTTTCTGGGGTACTCCTGTGCCTGCCAGCCCCCCAGAGTTCTGGCCCCGGATGAGGGTCTGGGAGCAGGCAGTGGACCCTAAAACGCCGGTGACTTTCCCTAAAGCAAAGCGGTTCTCAGATCCAGAATGGATCCGGCACAGCGTTTCGCTGCCGTGGAACGAAAGCAGGCTCCCCTCCGAAAGTGTCATAGCCCTTCTACTGCAGCCAACCCGTGGCGAGTCTCCGGGCGACCTCTGCGTGGGGAGCCAGGGGGTCTGCGGGCGCAGGCTTTGGAAATT